CACTTAGAACTGGCTATTAACTATGGGTTAGAACAACAAATCACTGGGCACAAAAACTGTATTATTACAAATTATCTCTTGAGTAAGTCAGTTAAAACTAAAAAGTTGCCTAAAGTTGATGAACCAGTTGCTAGGCCACGCGGCGATGAGCCCAAGACGGCTGTAACGGTGCGTAATGGGTACGGCGCGTCGAAACCCGCGTATAAAAATGGCCATAACTTCTATACCAATCGTTTCCCCGCCAAGTATGATATATCGATAGATGCGGAATCAGACAAGGTATCGATTGGACATATTTTTTTTTTAAATAAAAAAATGGCTTTTTTGGGTATTTACGAACATGTAAAATTCGATGGATCAAAAATCCGAAAAAAAAGGTGATACGTAAGTTTAATGATACGTTCCATCCAAAAATCATACATAAAACAAAAGTTCATAATTTTTAAAGAACTTTAGCGCAAACCGCAGATCAATAACTCAATTGGTTCAAAAGTTATCGAATTTTTAAGGTTGCAACTTGGCAACGCCGCCAAAGCGCGGGAAAATTTTTTTTGGACTTGAAATTATCAGAAACGGGGCCCTTTGTTATGGTGAAATAGCATACTAAAAAATGGAAGCAATCGGAGCTACGGGGGATTTGGCCATTTTTGCATAAGGCTCAATTTGTGTAGAGATGTAGATGACAGTGAAGCAAACGATGTAGATGAGAGATGACAGTGAAACAAACGCACATAATGAAACCTTAAGAAGATCTGCTAGGTAAAGAAAATCCAATATCAAGGATGATTTCATTTACAATAACTTAATTTATGTCAATTATTGTGATGCTACCTCACCTTTAACCTATGAGGAGGCAATGAAGAGTAATGAAGCTGGCAAATGGAATGAGGCAATGATGAAGGAGCTTAATATATAGTTTAAATAAAAATGATGCACGGTCTCTTGTGAACAAACCAGTAGATAAAGAAGTATTAAATGTTAAATGGATTTTTACTAAGAAGGCAGAAAACAATCATAAAGCTAGGCTTGTTGTGAGAGATTTTCAACAGACGGAATTAACAGAGGAGACATACTCTCGTATGGCAGGGATGGAAACTTTGAAAGTGTTTTTGTCATATTGTTGTCAGAATGGATTGGATATACATCAAATGGATGTCGAAACGACATTTTTAAACAGTATAATAAATTCTGAAGTTTATGTGAACCAGCCACCAGGTTTTACAAAAGTAGAAGGAAAAGTCAACAGGCTAAAAAAGGCTTTGTATGGATTGAAAGAAAGCCCACGGGTGTGGTATGATTGTTTTGATGATCATTTGATAAACTTAGATTTCGAAAGATGTTTAATAGAAATCTGTCTTTATGCACTGAAAAATCAAAAAGGTGAAGTTGTCTATATTATCATATTTGTCGATGATTTACTAGTTTGTAGTAAAAGTGTGTCGTGCATCAATGATGTAAAAAACAAATTAAAAGCAAAATTCCATATGAAAGATCTTGGTAAAATTAAAAGATATCTAGGAATAGATGTAAATTACAATCTGCACACACAGGAAATGACACTTAGTCAAAGTGAATAGGTATATTGAATCTCTAGCTCGTAAATGTGGCATAGAAAATAGCAAATTGTATAAGACACCAATGGAAGAAAACTTAAAATTGGAACCAGCTATTGAATGTGGAGACTTACCTTACAGAAACCTAATTGGAGCACTTCTTTATGTTAGTTGTGCAACACGGCCAGATATTGCATTGTCTGTAAACTATTTGAGTAGGTTTATGACTGCTTATGATCAAACACACTTTAAATATGCTCTGCGTGTACTGAAATACTTATATTTGACAAAGGATACGAAATTAATTGATAAAAAATCTGCTAATC